GAGATGTGAGCGGCGAAAAAAAAAAAAAAAAAAAAAAAAAAAAAAAATTTAGATTTCATATTTTGGGCCGGGGATTTAGCTCAGTGGTTTCGCTGCCTGCTTTGCAAGTGCAAGTTCCCAAATTCTGACCCTGGTACCAAAAACAAACAAAAATTGACCTATCTTAATATGCTTCAATTAATATTTCAATAAATTTAAATTAATTATAATTATGCAAATCTGGATATTAAAGTTTATGAAAATAAAAAGCAAGCACTCTACCACTGAGCTACATTCCCAGCACTTTTTTATTTTGGGTGGGCCTCACTCATCTGCCCGGGCGGCCTTAAACTCATCATCCTAGGAGTACAGGCATGCACCGCCAGGCCCAGCAATATTTAATATTTACTATTTTAACTCTTAGGAGTCTCTAGATTAAGATTGTGCTAAATTCTTTTGGGCCTAGAAATATTACATAGGCAATAAGCCTCATTTAACAGGACTACACATACCAAATTACCAACTGATCTGAAACAGCGAGGCTCACAGAACGAAGAGAGGTATACGGTACCCAGACATTCAATTTTATTTTTTCGTTACACTTCTTAGTTTATACCTTCATCACAGGGATTTGTGCCGCACATGATGTACCTGGCTTCTTTTTTTCCCCACTCCCCTCCTCTTCCTTCCACTCCTCCTCCCCTTATCTACAAAAGCTTTGCTTGCATTTTTTCTTTCTATTCTTTTTTTCTTGTCCCTTCTTTCTTCCCCCTTCCTCTCCCTCATTCCCTTTCGCACATGAATGTTCTCTTCTCATTTCCCAAAATCTTTTATATATTTTGGTCCTTATTTACATTGTCAGTTTCTCACACCACAGAAACAATGTTCTATTTACCTATGTGTGCCCAATTTATTTCACTTAAGAATATGGTGTTAAGTTGCATCCATTCAGCTAGAAATGTCTCAACTTATCCTACTTTATGGCAGAGTAGTACGCTATTGTATTAGAAAACCACATCTTTATCCATTTATCACATTCTTTAAATTTTTTTTTGTTTTTGTTTTTTTGTTTTTTGAGACAGGGTCTCACTATGTAGCTGAGACTGCCCTGGGACTCACTGTACAGCCCAGGCTGGTCTCGAACTCACACCGATTCTCCTGCCTCTGCCTCCTGAGTGCTGGGATTACAGGCATGAGCCACCATGCCCAGCTTCTTTAATTTTTAAATAAGTCATTCTAAAATTTTAATTTCATATTGTCTGTCTAGAGGTTTGGAATTTTCTATAATAAGTATTATAGATAGGGATACGATTTAGTTGTGAAATTGTACCTTGTAAGCAGCATTAAAATACGAAAACAGCATAAGAAAATAATGGCATACATCCATTTACTTAAATATATTTCAATGGGTGAACATATATAAATTTATATATATTCATATAATTGATTCCCTTTATAACCTGTAGGTTATATCAAAAGTTTAAGTTTTATGGTCCTGAGCCACAGGGGCTGAAAGGTACAAGAAGGGAGAAGGAAAAGAACATCTCTTTCCTTCTGGGTTATTCTAAGATTTATTGTTACTGTTACTTTGGTTCTTTTTTTTTTTTTTTTTTTTTGT